GCAGCACGACGACGTTTCTAAAGGCGATGCGCAATCGCGGGATCGAGAGCTTGGAGAAGAGGAGACCGCCCATCGCGGGTAGCATGAGCATGGACGCGAACGCCTCGACGATGATGACATAGTTGCCGCACCGATGCATCGGGTACACGATGCCAAAGCCGATTGTTGAGAACGCTTGGTAGCTCATGCCGAGCCCTTCCGAAAACACGTCGCACTCGTCGCAGATTTCGTAAAAGACGAGCCCCAAAAGCACCGTGATGGAGCAGTAGACAACGGTCACAAAGCACCAGAGCCGCGGCCAGCTCCAATGCAAGAGCATGTAGATGACGTCCTTGTAGGCCGGGCGCGGGCTGCCGTGCACCCATTCGATGGGCTTGCCAAAGAAGCGCTGTGTCGATGCGCGCTTGTCGTTGGAGAGCGACGACGGGAACGTCGACGCGGTCGCAGGCAGTGTTAGGCCCAGCCACACGCGCTGCCACATCGCGTGCATGTCTTTTTCGGATGCGAATCGGGTTCTGCCTCTCCCGATGACCTTCTATCACGCTACCATTGGGTGGCTGGTCGACCCGGGCATGACGTGGCAGCTGTAGAGCGTTGCACTACGCGTTACATCGGCAAAATGGAGAAGGCTGCTGTGCTCGGTTGTAGCTGACTGTTGGCTGCGTTTGGTAGACTACTGATAGATGACATCCAGTATGTAGATGTTTAAATAGTTGTATACTGGTCGCTCGTCGAGAAGATCCAAGTGAAGGATGCAACCACACATTCGAAGGACGAGGACAGGGCGGTGCTGTTTCGAGCTCCTTTGCCGGTTGCTGGCGAATTTGCAAAAAGCCATACTGCAACAAGAAGCGTACTACGACGTAGCGTCGCTGGTAGAACGCTGCCTGCGCAAACAACTTGGGAAGAGGGATGCCCTTGATATATTATTGCACACGGGATGGATTGACATTTTGCCATCATTGTCCCCGTCGCTTTGCGCGCACTTGTTTACAATCCGCGCCGACTTCCATGCCGCCGATTCCATGGCCGACTTCAATCTTTTATGCACCTTGCACCTAGGGTTCCACACCTTGAAGGCCAAGAATCATGTAATCGATTAAGATAGAAAGTGCAAAGTCACTTTGCACTTTCCAGAGGCAGTTGCAGCGAACGCATCTACGTACCGGTACTGATTTGTTTGTGATTGCATACTTTAACACAGTACGCCACACACATACAACTGGCTTGGTTGCATTCGATGCTTTTGGTTCACGATATCGGCCCAAACGACCCATGTGCAATCTGTCCGATAGGGCAGCTATGGGTTCGAATCTTGGCGATCTCCGTCTTTCTTTTCGCTGTCTCGGCACAACGACAGTGCGACAAACGATCGCCATCGAGGAGCCGACAAGTCGAGGAAGCTTCGTATCTCCGAGACCAACGTCGTCAGGACGAGGCAAAGGACAACCTGCCGCTTGACCATTTGAGGTGCTAAGCTGTCGAGGCGACTCCACCGTTTAGGCGATCGCACCACACACAAGAGCAAATGACGGGCATAAATAAAGAATGCCCTCACATGATCACAAATAGGGCGCGAACGAGCTCTGGCTGCTGCACTCGGACACGGCGAGGTCCGGGACGTCGTCGCCCCAGACCGCGCCGAGTTCCGAGTCGAGGGTGTTGGCGCGTCGCAGCGTCTTGAAGGCGAAAAAGTCTTCCGAGCTCGCGTCCGTGCACGTGGAAATCGCGCCGTCTTCCTCGTCGTCGTCGTCGTCGTCTACGAGGTGGGATGATGATTTGTGACCCTCTAGTAGCACGTCAATACGCCACTGCCTCTTGCATTTCAGCAGCGTACCGAGTTCGAGGAGCGGCACTTGGTTGGCATACGCTGACGACGCGCCGTCCGAGCGACTGCACAGACAGTGCGTGCAGAGGACCGTGGGTACCACATGACCCGCAATCTGCAGTGGCCACGCCTTGCAGCAGCGCTTGCAGACCACCTACACAAGTGGGATGTTGGGCATCCGCATCCAAAGAAATAAATGCAATAAAATACCCAGCCGCATTTTTGGCACTGCGTTTTGGTCGAGAACCGGCCAAACTTGACGTCGCAGCGCTCGCAGAACGCCGTCTTCTTGACAGACTTGACCGGCAGCTGGCTCGGCTCGGACGCGGCTGCTTGGGCTGCAAAGTACGCATTGGCGCGCTCAATACAAAAGTGCTGCTCGAGGTTCAAGCTTTGGCTCACGATGCCCTGAAGCACCTTGCGGTGAATCATGTTGGGGAGCCGGCCGTTGGGCTCGGTGATGCAGCACCAGTAAAAGTCCAGGACGCCCGGCGTGTCGGTCTCTAAAAAGACTTGGCCCGACTATGCATCCATCAAATTCCGTCAAACTTGAAATCAAACTTGAAATCGCATTGGAAGAAGAGAGACGTACGCGCACGAGGTGGCCGCGTACAAAGCCGTGCGACGACTGCATGGGCGGGCAGCACGGCATGTCGACCGAGTGCACGGCGCGGACCCATGCGCGGCGCAGCGTGCCGGTCGCCGGGTCTTCCAGGTAGTTTTCGCTAATGCACTATCGTCGTATGTTGTACAATATTGTCCATTGTCCTGGAGACAGAGGGCGTGTACCTCGAGGTAGCACGCGTCGCGCTTCATCGCAATCGACTTGGCCAAGAAGTTGCTCTCCATGACGCTCCAGATCACCGTCACGTGCGTCAATGGCAAGTGCAAGTCCGTGTCGTCGCCCACGAGCGTGTACAAGGTGACCCGGTCCAGCACGTTTTGGCTCACGACGCCGGCGTACGCACGCATTTTGCGCGGCGAGTTGAGCGTGTAAAAGTCGGCGACCTCGTCAAAGGTGGCGCGCACCGGCGTCACACACGTCATGCCAATGAGCGATGGATCCTTGAGATCGACCCCTTCGTGCATCTAGTCGCGAGCGCAATGGGTTCATTCATGCAAGGACGAAGAGGGAAGCGGCGTACGTTGGCGGTGCGGCGCGTGGCGGGGTTTAAAAGCACCTTGATGATGGGCAGCTTGGCCATTGAGAGTGCGTTCTTGACCGTGTCCTGGACGACCTCGTGCGCCTTGGTGATGAGGTTGGCGCGGTGCAGCGGCGCCAGCTTGGGCGGGCGAAAGTAGTTGGGCGGCAGCGGCAGCGACGACGACGACGGCATTGATGTGTGTGTGTGACGGCCAGACGATCGCAAACTGCGCCCGTTGGCCAGATGGCGTCGACAGGTGCCATCGCCGGGAGGAAAAAATGATTGTTGAGTTTGAACCTATCCTTGTACTTGATGTTTGTAGGAAGAATGGGTTCTGAAGCTCAAAAACGACGAAACGTGACGTGGAATCATCGAAATTCTTGACAGACAATCACATTCGATGCGTGGCCTGATAGGTAGCCAGCAGCAATTGCCAGCATCCTGCTCGTCCTATCGAACAAGGCGGCGATGATGCCATCATTTGAACGTGATAGCGCAATGTGTATGGTCTTCTCTCGCTTCCTGCGCTACTGCATTCGTGTAGCCCGCAGCCCGACCGAGAGTTTGATTGTTTTCCTCTGTCACTCGAAGCGTTGAACCTCAATGGCAATTCTTGAGGTGCAACGACGCGCGTCGACGGGCTCCTTGCGTGCTTCCAAGAACCAAGCTGGCGGCAGTGATTCACTATGCTTTCTATGCGGGTGGTGGTCTTGGTGATGACTGCAAGGAAAATGACGCAGTTGCTTCGATCAGCCATGACGCAAACCGCTATGGAGCAGCCATTTGACCGTCCTGCGCTGCGACACGCGCGCGCCTCGAATGCGCAGAGGCGTCCCAATGTCACGATACCGAGTCTTCACACGAATACCAAGGGCCATCAACTGTTTATTGACCCTTCATACGACGCCTGAAGCCGACCGGCGTTGTGATCGGCGATACATATTCACCCACGATTCAGGACCTGAATTTCGCTGCAGCTTTACGTCAATTCGAGCGACCGCGCGATGCGAGTCGTTCGTTCATGAGGAGCGCGGCTCGTTGTGCTGTGTGAACGCGACGACTTTATTTTACAAACGAGGTGCGTCCGAGGGGTATCGTCACATGTCGGCATCAGGTCCAGACAGAGTTGTACCCGCGAGCCGAGAACACCGACCGTGCGACGAGGGGAACTACCGATACCAATCCATCTACATACCGGTACTCTTGTACGTGTAGGTAGCTCGAACCCCACGGCGTGCACACTATCGAGGGTGTTTTGCCCCAAGCACTACTAGTATCATCCAAGCCTGTATGTTGCAGACTGGAGCATATTAATAATGATCGCCGCACCACGCCAAATGACAAGCGGGTAAGACCGGCAGGAAGACACAGGATTGCTTATTGACGTATATCGGATTATAAAGGTAATGAATATATTGTTTCATGACACTTGAGACATTTATTTTATCAAAGATTAAAACAAATCGATAATGAGAGGTACATGCCCCAGGGTCGGCGCCACCATTTGCCCAAGACTGCAAGAGTCCAAAGACAATTTATAGACCCTTGGACTGTAAATGCTAACCGTGGTTGTGTGGGCCATGTAACGAGCGATTTGCAGCGCCTTGATGGATCCAACTCGAAGCACACCGTGGCGAGGTTCAGCACCCGCGACGAGCCGTCGCCACATCAAACGGCGGCAGGTGATCGCACCACGACTTGGCTTATCGGCTAGTATGCGAATTCGAGGAATGTCCACAATGATATGACCTTTTTGGAGTCGACTCGGGCATTTATTGCGGGACGTGACGTCGCGGAACGTGTTGGATACGCTAAAGGTGCAATCATACAAAATGTCATGGACCTCATTCAAGACCCCGGCTGCTTTTGTTTTGAATCTCACGCAATCGCCGACGTGCGATTCTGCGTAGCACGACGTTGCCAAGTCATGTCTGTTGCATGACCTTTTGGATTCGCTGCCATTGCTCTCAACTAAATACGCTGGACGCGACAAAAGTGCATGATTGGGACATATGGACATGTAGTAAAACACCAAATGAACACGCTGGAAAAGCTACAACGACGTGGGGTTGCTCCCGGACGGCGACGTCTCGTCGTACACTTCAATCGCGCCATCGATGCCGACTTGGACACACGGCAGCCCAAACGTGTGCTCGACGGTCTCGGCCTGGGCCACGAACGACGCGTCGAGGCCAAGCCGACTGGCTTCGCCGTCGACCATGGACATGGTCACCATCGTCGACGCCGCATGCTGACGGCGCATAAACTCCGTTCCTATTCGTCTATTCAGTACTAACAATCAAGTATCAAGATGGCATGTACGTGGCAGCATGCCAGTGTAGCAGGTCGTGCAGACCATGGCCGTGACGGTCGACTGGTGAAGGTCGATGCGCACCGCGAGGTGGCAGCTCTTGCAAATGGTCTAGCACCACATCGTCGTCATCTCTCGTGAGAATCGAGACCAAAATGTACCTCTTCGCAGACTTGGCACATGGTCTTGGGGCCACTAAAGACACTGAACGCTGTCCGGCAGCAGCCGCACTCGGCGGCTTTGCGCCGCACGACGCGAATCGGGTGCATCGGGTGATGTAAAAAGTAGAAGGCGAGGCGCTGGCGCTGCAGATGCGGCTCGAGGCGCAGCATCTACACGAGTACAGTGAAGTACGATGCACGATCGGGCATAGCAAACCGGCGGCAGCATTCGCTGGAGGCACGACTGCTGGACGAACCGGGGCACGGTGCCGTACGCTTCGCCAATGTACACGACAAAGTAGTTGAGTACACCGGGGCGGTCCGTTTCCATGAAAACGTGGCCCGACTAGCCATCGATAGATAGATATCAACATGATACCAAAAAAACAAAGAAGTGTACCCGAACGAGGCGGCCACGCACCATCTTGTGGCTCTGCTCGAGCGACGGGCAGCAGTCGAGCTCGAGCGAGTGCAGCGCGCGCACCCAACACCGGCGCACGGCCTTGGTGTCAGGGCACTGCATCTCGTATTCGCGAATGGCCTATATAGGGTGACAGACGACCTCGTACTACATATTCAGAGTCAGGGCAGAGAACCTCGAGGACGCACGAGTCGCGGCGCCTGAGGAACGGCGACGGACAGTCCATCGCGATCCACGAAATGCCCGCGTACTTGAGCGGCCGCTTCGTCGACCGACGCAGTGTGTACAGCGAGCACCGGTCGGCCGTCGAGTGCGCAAAAACGCTGCCGAATGTGGCGACGCTCTCAGCGCTGCTCAAGTTGTAAAAGTCACCGACTTCGTCCCAGGACGCGTGGACCTGCGTGACGCCAACGACACCGTCGAGCGTTGCATCGAGCACGTCGCTGCCGTGGTAGATCTACATGACGGCGCGCTCAATCCTTTTTGTGTCGTATCACTCGTTGGACCTGGAGACGGCGCTTGGTCTGGGCGTGGACCAGCACCTTGGTCGGCGGGCCTTTGGCGGCCATCGAGACCGCGTTCCGCGCCGTGAGGAAGCAAACGTGGTGCGCTTGGTGCACGAAGGCTTGGCGCTCGGACGCGGAGAGCGGTGGGCAGCGAAAGAAGTCGGGCGGCAGGGGCAAGGACATCCCTCCCATCGCACTGCTCGCAAACTGCGCGCTTGGATGAGCTCTTCAACCCAAAGGCATCGTCTGGTTCCGCAATTGCCGTAGACAAGTACAGGAGGTCCAGACAGCCGCACGCGCATCGTAGAATGTCGCCCACACGGTGATGCACACATGTAAAGGGAATTCTCAGTGCTCCTTAATGTCCCGTGGCGCTCGGTGGACGGTCGCTGGAAGCAAGCATGCGTCCTGGAGGCCATGGGAAGATGCTCTTGGCCATAAAAAGGCAACCATAAGTACTACCTGTGGCAATTCACAGCACGTCACCAGCTGCTCCAATGGCAACCGTGAGATATCATTGGCGGTCGCTGTGACTCACGGCCGTCGACAATCATCCAGGTGGCAGTTGCCCTTGTGCATCCTCCAAGAGCCCCAGTAAATTTTGGTCGGCGAGCCTCCAGCGCCGTCTAGCTACTCGTGCATTTCGTTCAGTGGCAAGCACACGCAGGTTCAAGTCGACGGGGATGTTGACTTGGAATCCAGCCACGTTCGCAGACAGTGTTACCACCATCCTGTCTTTGCCTCACGAGGTAGCGACACAGAGGGGTTGGCACAGACAAGACCCATGCGTTGACGAGACGAGCGAAGTTGCGTCACACGACCACTTTGTGTTGCCGTCACGCCGAAATGGGCGTCAAGGCTTCTTCACATGACAGGTCGGTTGCTGGCTCGACTGGAAATCCCTTCAGAACGCACGGCCAACCCTCCGCAAGCCACGGCCTTGAGTGTATCGCGTGATGAGTCGACCATTGGTATGGCAGCCCACTCGGTACCATTGACGTAAACGCATTTGGGGCGCAGGTGTTGGCGCACATGATCTATCTATCTATCTATCTATCTATCTATCTATCTATCTATCTATCTATCTATCTATCTATCTATCTATCTATCTATCTATCTATCTCGCCCATGACGTTTTCAACTCCAAATTGCAAATTAACACTAGTGGTAGCCATACTGCCCGCGCGTGCTGTCGCCGGCGGCGGCGGATGGTGCGTATGAGCTGAACGAAGATCGCGACTCGAGTACCGAGAGGGCGGTGGTGCGAGTAAAGCCCCACTCGTCGTCGTCGTCGGTCGTGGTGGGCTGCGCCATTGCACTCTGGCGCATTTCGCTGGGATGGTACAGCTGGATCGCGCGCGGCTTGTCGTCGTCGTCGTCCAGCGCGATGGGACCGCCCATGGCGAATACGCTGCTGGCCTCGTCCGAGAGCGTGTCTACATACGTTGGCATGGCTCCAAAGCTCGTCGATGAGAAAGCACGAACCGCTGTGCACAGCCGTCGCCGTGCGGCGGCGCGCTGTCGGGCAGTAGCAGGTGGTGCAGACGCGGAGTTTCTTGGAAAGGCCATCGTCTCTGCGTGGATCACGTGTGCGCAGCGCTTGCACGCCATCTACGTACTCCGTGTCGTATTCTCCATCATCAAAACGATCCTACCTTGTGGCAGAAAAAGCACTGCAGCTTCTGCGAGAGCAGGTGAAAGCTCTTGAAGCAGAGCTCGCAAAACGGCGCTTTGGCGCGAAACGGAGCCGGCGCCACAAACGCG